GGGAGAGGGAACAAGAAGGGGGGGGGAACATGAGAGAGGGAGAGGGAACAAGAAGGGGGGGGGAACATGAGAGAGGGAGAGGGAACAAGAAGGGGGGGGGGAACATGAGAGAGGGAGAGGGAACAAGAAGGGGGGGGAACATGAGAGAGGGAGAGGGAACAAGAGAGGGGGGGGAACATGAGAGAGGGAGAGGGAACAAGAAGGGGGGGGGAACATGAGAGAGGGAGAGGGAACAAGAAGGGGGGGGGAACATGAGAGAGGGAGAGGGAACAAGAAGGGGGGGGGAACATGAGAGAGGGAGAGGGAACAAGAAGGGGGGGGGAACATGAGAGAGGGAGAGGAACAAGAAGGGGGGGGGAACATGAGAGAGGGAGAGGGAACAAGAAGGGGGGGGGAACATGAGAGAGGGAGAGGGAACAAGAAGGGGGGGGAACATGAGAGAGGGAGAGGGAACAAGAAGGGGGGGGGAACATGAGAGAGGGAGACGGGAACAAGAAGGGGGGGGGAACATGAGAGAGGGAGAGGGAACAAGAAGGGGGGGGGGAACATGCAGCGAGGGGAGAGGGAACAAGAAGGGGGGGGGAACATGAGAGAGGGAGAGGGAACAGAAGGGGGGGGGACATGAGAGAGGGAGAGGGAACAAGAAGGGGGGCGGGAACATGAGAGAGGGAGAGGGAACAAGAAGGGGGGGGGGGAAGGGAAACATGAGAGAGGGAGAGGGAACAAGCAGGGGGGGGGACACATGAGAGAGGGAGAGAGGGAACAAAGAAGGGGGGGGGAACATGAGAGAGGGAGAGGGAACAAGAAGGGGGGGGGAACATGAGAGAGGGAGAGGGAACAAGAAGGGGGGGGGGAACATGAGAGAGGGAGAGGGAACAAGAAGGGGGGGGACCATGAGAGAGGGAGAGGGAACAAGAAGGGTGGGGGGAACATGAGAGAGGGAGAGGGAACAAGAAGGGGGGGGGAACATTGAGAGAGGGAGAGGGAACAAGAAGGGGGGTGAACATGAGAGCGGGAGAGGGAACTCAGGAAGGGGGTGGGAAACATGAGCGAGGGAGAGGGAAACAAGAAGGGGGGGGGGAAACAATGAGAGAGGGCGAGGGAACAAGAAGGGGGCGGGGAACCTGAGAGAGGGAGAGGGAACACGAAGGGGGGGGGGAACATGAGGATAGGGAGAGGGAACAAGAAGGGGGAACATGAGAGAGGGAGAGGGGAACAAGAAGGGGGGGGGAACATGAGAGAGGGAGAGGGGAACCAAGAAGGGGCGGGGGGAACATGACGAGAGGGAGAAGGGAACAACGAAGGGGGGGGAACATGATGCGAGGGAGAGGGAACAATAAGGGGGGGGGAGGGAACATGAGAGAGGGAGAGGGAACAAGAAGGGGGGGGGAACATGAGAGAGGGAGAGGGAACAAGAAGGGGGGGGGAACATGAGAGAGGGAGAGGGAACAGAAGGGGGGACGGGAACATGAGAGAGGGAGAGGGAACAAGAAGGGGGGGGAACATGAGAGAGGGCGAGGGGAACAAGTAAGGGGGGGGGAACATGAGAGAGGGAGAGGGAACAAGAAGGGGAGCGGGGAAACCTGAAGGAGAGGAGAGGGAACAAGAAGGGGAGGGGAGGAACATGAGAAGGGGGGGGGAAACATGAGAGAGGGAGAGGGAACAAGAAGGGGGGGGGAACATGAGAGAGGGAGAGGGAACAAGAAGGGGGGGGGAACATGAGAGAGGGAGAGGGAACAAGAAGGGGGGGGGAACATGAGAGAGGGAGAGGGAACAAGAAGGGGGGGGGAACATGAGCGAGGGAGAGGGAACAAGAAGGGGGGGGGAACATGAGAGAGGGAGAGGGAACAAGAAGGGGGGGGGAACATGAGAGAGGGAGAGGGAACAAGAAGGGGGGGGGAACATGAGAGAGGGAGAGGGAACAAGAAGGGGGGGGGAACATGAGCGAGGGAGAGGGAACAAGAAGGGGGGGGGAACATGAGAGAGGGAGAGGGAACAAGAAGGGGGGGGGAACATGAGAGAGGGAGAGGGAACAAGAAAGGGGGGGGAACATGAGCGAGGGAGAGGGAACAAGAAGGGGGGGGGAACATGAGAGAGGGAGAGGGAACAAGAAGGGGGGGGGAACATGAGAGAGGGAGAGGGAACAAGAAGGGGGGGGGAACATGAGAGAGGGAGAGGGAACAAGAAGGGGGGGGGGAACATGAGAGAGGGAGAGGGAACAAGAAGGGGGGGGGAACATGAGAGAGGGAGAGGGAACAAGAAGGGGGGGGGAACATGAGAGAGGGAGAGGGAACAAGAAGGGGGGGGGAACATGAGAGAGGGAGAGGGAACAAGAAGGGGGGGGGAACATGAGAGAGGGAGAGGGAACAAGAAGGGGGGGGGGAACATGAGCGAGGGAGAGGGAACAAGAAGGGGGGGGGAACATGAGCGAGGGAGAGGGAACAAGAAGGGGGGGGGAACATGAGAGAGGGAGAGGGAACAAGAAGGGGGGGGGAACATGAGAGAGGGAGAGGGAACAAGAAGGGGGGGGGAACATGAGAGAGGGAGAGGGAACAGGAAGGGGGGGGGAACATGAGCGAGGGAGAGGGAACAAGAAGGGGGGGGGGAACATGAGCGAGGGAGAGGGAACAAGAAGGGGGGGGGAACATGAGAGAGGGAGAGGGAACAAGAAGGGGGGGGGAACATGAGAGAGGGAGAGGGAACAAGAAGGGGGGGGGAACATGAGAGAGGGAGAGGGAACAAGAAGGGGGGGGGGAACATGAGAGAGGGAGAGGGAACAAGAAGGGGGGGGGGAACATGAGAGAGGGAGAGGGAACAAGAAGGGGGGGGGAACATGAGAGAGGGAGAGGGAACAAGAAGGGGGGGGGAACATGAGCGAGGGAGAGGGAACAAGAAGGGGGGGGGAACATGAGAGAGGGAGAGGGAACAAGAAGGGGGGGGGAACATGAGAGAGGGAGAGGGAACAAGAAGGGGGGGGGAACATGAGAGAGGGAGAGGGAACAAGAAGGGGGGGGGAACATGAGAGAGGGAGAGGGAACAGGAAGGGGGGGGGAACATGAGAGAGGGAGAGGGAACAAGAAGGGGGGGGGAACATGAGAGAGGGAGAGGGAACAAGAAGGGGGGGGGAACATGAGAGAGGGAGAGGGAACAAGAAGGGGGGGGGAACATGAGAGAGGGAGAGGGAACAGGAAGGGGGGGGGGAACATGAGCGAGGGAGAGGGAACAAGAAGGGGGGGGGAACATGAGCGAGGGAGAGGGAACAAGAAGGGGGGGGGAACATGAGAGAGGGAGAGGGAACAAGAAGGGGGGGGAACATGAGAGAGGGAGAGGGAACAAGAAGGGGGGGGGAACATGAGAGAGGGAGAGGGAACAAGAAGGGGGGGGGAACATGAGAGAGGGAGAGGGAACAAGAAGGGGGGGGGAACATGAGAGAGGGAGAGGGAACAAGAAGGGGGGGGGAACATGAGAGAGGGAGAGGGAACAGGAAGGGGGGGGGACATGAGAGAGGGAGAGGGAACAAGAAGGGGGGGGGAACATGAGAGAGGGAGAGGGAACAAGAAGGGGGGGGGAACATGAGAGAGGGAGAGGGAACAAGAAGGGGGGGGGAACATGAGAGAGGGAGAGGGAACAAGAAGGGGGGGGGAACATGAGAGAGGGAGAGGGAACAAGAAGGGGGGGGGAACATGAGAGAGGGAGAGGGAACAAGAAGGGGGGGGGAACATGAGAGAGGGAGAGGGAACAGGAAGGGGGGGGGAACATGAGCGAGGGAGAGGGAACAAGAAGGGGGGGGGAACATGAGCGAGGGAGAGGGAACAAGAAGGGGGGGGGAACATGAGAGAGGGAGAGGGAACAAGAAGGGGGGGGGAACATGAGAGAGGGAGAGGGAACAAGAAGGGGGGGGGAACATGAGAGAGGGAGAGGGAACAAGAAGGGGGGGGGAACATGAGAGAGGGAGAGGGAACAGGAAGGGGGGGGGAACATGAGAGAGGGAGAGGGAACAAGAAGGGGGGGGGAACATGAGAGAGGGAGAGGGAACAAGAAGGGGGGGGGAACATGAGAGAGGGAGAGGGAACAAGAAGGGGGGGGGAACATGAGAGAGGGAGAGGGAACAAGAAGGGGGGGGGAACATGAGAGAGGGAGAGGGAACAAGAAGGGGGGGGGAACATGAGAGAGGGAGAGGGAACAAGAAGGGGGGGGGAACATGAGAGAGGGAGAGGGAACAAGAAGGGGGGGGGAACATGAGAGAGGGAGAGGGAACAAGAAGGGGGGGGAACATGAGAGAGGGAGAGGGAACAAGAAGGGGGGGGGAACATGAGAGAGGGAGAGGGAACAAGAAGGGGGGGGGAACATGAGCGAGGGAGAGGGAACAAGAAGGGGGGGGGAACATGAGAGAGGGAGAGGGAACAAGAAGGGGGGGGGAACATGAGAGAGGGAGAGGGAACAAGAAGGGGGGGGGAACATGAGAGAGGGAGAGGGAACAAGAAGGGGGGGGGAACATGAGAGAGGGAGAGGGAACAAGAAGGGGGGGGGAACATGAGAGAGGGAGAGGGAACAAGAAGGGGGGGGGAACATGAGAGAGGGAGAGGGAACAAGAAGGGGGGGGGAACATGAGAGAGGGAGAGGGAACAAGAAGGGGGGGGGAACATGATGAGAGGGAGAGGGAACAAGAAGGGGGGGGGAACATGAGAGAGGGAGAGGGAACAAGAAGGGGGGGGAACATGAGAGAGGGAGAGGGAACAAGAAGGGGGGGGGAACATGAGAGAGGGAGAGGGAACAAGAAGGGGGGGGAACATGAGAGAGGGAGAGGGAACAAGAAGGGGGGGGAACATGAGAAGAGGGGGGGAACATGAGAGAGGGAGAGGAACAAGAAGGGGGGGGGAACATGAGAGAGGGAGAGGGAACAAGAAGGGGGGGGGAACATGAGAGAGGGAGAGGGAACAAGAAGGGGGGGGGAACATGAGAGAGGGAGAGGGAACAAGAAGGGGGGGGGAACATGAGAGAGGGAGAGGGAACAAGAAGGGGTGGGGAACATGAGAGAGGGAGAGGGAACAAGAAGGGGTGGGGAACATGAGAGAGGGAGAGGGAACAAGAAGGGGGGGGGAACATGTGTCGTCGGCGCCACAGCTGCTGCAGCGTGGTTCCCCCAGGCACCTCCTCTGTGCAGGGAGAGAGAGAGGAGTGGCAGGAAAGGGTAGTGGGGGGTCGGCGCCACAGCTGCTGCAGCGTGGTTTTCCCCTCATCCCCCCATCCCTCATTCCCCCACCCCTCATTCCCCGACTCATCAACCTCCCACCCCTCATCCTCCCACCCCTCATCTCCCCACCCCTCATCCCCTCCCTCTCACCCAACTCACGAGAGCGATGCGAACGCAAGGTGAGACGACAGAGAGTGATGCTCCGCGCCTTCCTCCTCATCTCCCCCTCCTCTTGCACCCCCCCACCCCACATCATCCCCACGCTCCCACCACCCATTTCCCCTCACCCAACTCACGAGAGCGATGCGAACGCGAGGTGGGAAGACAGAGAGTGCTCCGTGCCTTCCCCGTCATCTCCCCCTCCTCTCACCAATCCAACTCCCCACCCCACATCACTGCCACTCTCTCACCGCCCATGGTCCACCATCCAACTCACGAGAGCGATGCGAAGGCGAGGTGAGACGACAGACAGTGCTCCGCGCCTTCCCCCTCATCTCCCCCTCCTCTCACCAATCCAACTCCCCACCCCACATCACTGCCACTCTTTCACCACCAATGGTCCCCCATTCAACTCACGAGAGCGATGCGAACGCAAGGTGAGACGACAGAGAGTGCTGCTCTGCGTCCTTCCCCCTCATCGCATCTCTTCCTCCTCTGACCTTCCTCTCATCTTCCCCATCTCACCATCCATTGCTCCTCCCTCTCGCCCAACTCACGAGAGCGATGCGAACGCAAGGTGAGACGACAGAGAGTGCTGCTCCGCGCCTTCCCCCTCATCTCATCTCTTCCTCCTCTGACCTTCCTCTCATCTTCCCCATCTCACCATCCATTGCTCCTCCCTCTCGCCCAACTCACGAGAGCTATGCGAACGCAAGGTGGGAAGACAGAGAGTGCTGCTCCGCGCCCTCCCCCTCATCTCCCCCCACTCCTCATCACCCCCTCCCTCTCAACCCCTCACTCTCTCACCCCTGATTAGATCACCCCCTCCCAACTCACGAGAGCGATGCGAAGGCGAGGTGCGAAGACAGAGGGCGCTGCTCCGCGCCCTCCCCTTCATCTCCTCCTCCCTCTCACCACCCCCTCCTACCCACCACCCATTGCCCTCCTCGCCCAACTCACGAGAGCGATGCGAATGCGAGGTGAGAAGACAGAGAGTGCTGCTCCGCGTCCCCCCCTTCATCTCCCCCTCCTCTCGTCCCCTTGCCCCTCCCTGCCCCTCCTCCTCCTCCTGCTCCCGAGTGCTCTGGCCCTGCAAGGGATTAAAACATGGGAAGCAGAGAAAACGAGTTTTGTGTCGACTCAAAGGTCTGCTCCCGAGTGCTCTGGCCCTGCAAGGGGTTAACAAATGGGAAGCAAAGAACGAGAGCTTTGTGTCGACTCAAAAGTCCGCTCGCGAGTACTCCCCATGTCCTACCCATCTCCATATCCTCTTATCCCCTTCCCTACCGCCCCACCACTCACCCAGCCAGCAGTGCGCGCGATACCTCAGTCTGTCTCCTTTCTTACAGCCCCATGTTCCGCCCTCTGCCCTTATCCCCTTTCTTACAGCCCCGTGTTCCGCCCTCTGCCCTTATCCCCTTTCTTACAGCCCCATGTTCCGCCCTCTGCCCTTATCCCCTTTCTTACAGCCCCATGTTCCGCCCTCTGCCCTTATCCCCTTTCTTACAGCCCTACCACTCACCCAACCAGCAGTGCGCGCGATACCTCAGCCCCGCCCTCAGCCTGTCTCCCCCCCCAAACAGCACCTCCAAATTCCACCCTCTACCATTTCCCCCATACCCCCTCTCAAAAAGACTCACCCAGCCAGCAGTGCGCGCGATACCTCAGTCTGTCTCCTTTCTTACAGCCCCATGTTCCGCCCTCTGCCCTTATCCCCTTTCTTACAGCCCCATGTTCCGCCCTCTGCCCTTATCCCCTTTCTTACAGCCCCATGTTCCGCCCTCTGCCCTTATCCCCTTTCTTACAGCCCTACCACTCACCCAACCAGCAGTGCGCGCGATACCTCAGCCCCGCCCTCAGCCTGTCCCCCCCCCCAAACAGCACCTCCAAATTCCACCCTCTACCATTTTCCCCATACCCCCTCTCAAAAAGACTCACCCAGCCAGCAGTGCGCGCGGTACCTCAACCCCGCCCTCAGCCTGGCCTGTCTCCCCCACGAAACACCACCTCCACCTTGGGTTCCCATTTCCCCCATCCTATGTGCCCCCTCTAAAGGACTCACCCAGCCAGCAGTGCGCTCTCAGCCTGACTTTCCCCCATCAACCAACCCCCATGTGCCCCCTTTCACGGACTCACCCAGCCAGCAGTGCGCGCGGTACCTCAGCCCCGCCCTCAGTCTGTCGGCCCCCCGGAACAGCACCTCCACCTTGAGACGCATTTCCGCCTGCTCTCACCTCCTCACCACTGCCTAGCACTCCCAGAGAAAAGGACTCACCCAGCCAGCAGTGCGCGCGGTACCTCAACCCCGCTCTCACCCTGACCCCTCAACAACCAAGCCCCATGTCTCAAATACCATCTTATCCCCCTCTCCCAGCCCTACCACTCACCCAGCCAGCAGTGCGCGTGGTACCTCAGCCCCGCCCTCAGTCTGTCGGCCCCCCGGAACAGCACCTCCACCTTGAGACGCATTTCCGCCTGCTCTCACCTCCTCACCACTGCCTAGCACTCCCAGAGAAAAGGACTCACCCAGCCAGCAGTGCGCGCGGTACCTCAACCCCGCTCTCACCCTGACCCCTCAACAACCAAGCCCCATGTCTCAAATACCATCTTATCCCCCTCTCCCAGCCCCACCACTCACCCAGCCAGCAGTGCGCGCGGTACCTCAGCCCCGCCCTCAGTCTGTCGGCCCCCCGGAACAGCACCTCCACCTTGAGACGCATTTCCGCCTGCTCTCACCTCCTCACCACTGCCTAGCACTCCCAGAGAAAAGGACTCATCCAACCAGCAGTGCGCGCGGTACCTCAGCCCCGCTCTCACCCTGACCCCTCAACAACCAAGCCCCATGTCTCAAATACCATCTTATCCCCTCTCCCAGCCCCACCACTCACCCAGCCAGCTGTGCGCGCGGTACCTCAGCCCTGCTCTCAGCCTGTGCCCTATCAACCAACCCACCCCCATATCCCCACATACCCACTTATTCACCTCTCCCCGCCACTCACCCAGTCAGCAGTGAGTGCGGTACCTCAGCCCTGCTCTCAGCCTGTGCCCTATCAACCAACCCACCCCCATATCCCCACATACCCACTTATTCACCTCTCCCAGCCACTCACCCAGTCAGCAGTGAGTGCGGTACCTCAGCCCTGCTCTCAGCCTGTGCCCTATCAACCAACCCACCCCCATATCCCCACATACCCACTTATTCACCTCTCCCCGCCACTCACCCAGTCAGCAGTGAGTGCGGTACCTCAGCCCCCCTCCTCAGCCTGTGCCCCCCTCACCACCATGCCACATTACACCCCCTCGAAACTGCACCTGCACTTGACCCTCTTTTCTCCCCGCCCCACCACCATTCACCCAGTCAGCAGTGAGCGCGGTACCTCAGCCCCCCTCCTCAGCATGTCTACCCCCCATCAACCAACCCCACATCCCACCCATCCCCATATCCTCTTATCCCCTTCCCAACCGCCCCACCACTCACCCAGCCAGCAGTGCGCACAGTACCTCAGCCCCGCTCTCAGCCTGTTCCCTCCCCCCCCCCAAACAGCACCTCCACCTTCCCCCCGCCCAGCCACACTACACACCAAGCCCCACATACCCCCTTACCGCCCCACCACTCACCCAGCCAGCAGTGCGCCTGGCATCTCAGCCCCGCCCTCCACCTTGCGGAGTAATGAAGGATTCGAAACGCAGCAAGCCGTGTGGTCACCGTTGAAACTTTCAGCTAAGTATGGGTGGGTTGCTTCGTAGGACTAGGAAAAAGGTATGAATGAGGACTTGATAAGTCTCAAAGTAAAAGTACTAAGTAGGCGTACGCGTTTCGGCCTGTGAGGCCTTCATCAGCGCCAGTTAGGATTACAAACAAGACCCTTCTAGTCCCATTTCTACCATTTCTTCCCGTTATCCTCTCAACCCCCCAAATTCCCTAGGTCTAACCACTACCCAGGCGAAATCTGCCCGAACCATACAAGGCTGCCAACTTGGATCAGCATGGGACCACTCGAGAAATTCCCGAAGGCCCAAGGGAACTTCACCGCAAAACAGTAGGTGAGTCCGCTGTAGTGGGATTCGCTGTAGAAAAGCGAGCCCTAACCAAACGGTTTTGTAACCGTGTAGGTAACTTCCAACACACCAGAACCGGAGGGATTTGTAAGCCAGCTATATTGGAGTGACTTTTGAGAATTCTCAAAAGTTTCCCCAGCCCCAAGCCCGTGGTTTTCGGGCATCTTCTTACTTTCAAGGACTGGGGTGCTTCCCTCGTTTTCGGCTGTGTGCAGGTCTTGAGCAGAGAACCACGATCCTTAAACTTCACCCGGTCGAAGATTGGCCGTAGGAAGAAGTCAGGGTACCCTCGAGCTTTAAGACGATTGAAGAACGCCATTTTCCTGTCTAGGAAGTCGAAGGCGGAGGAGTTTCGGAGGCAGTGTCTCTTAAGCTCCCCTGAGATGAAACCAGCCTTACACTGCCTCGAGTGATACGAGGAGAAAGGAAGGTACAGATATTTGTTGAGGGGCTTCTGAAACGTCTTGACGTCCAAACAGCCACTCTGCCGGAACCTCTCCCCTTTGTATAGAGTCAAGTCCAGAAAGTCGATGGAGTTGCTGTTGATCTCCCACGTGAATTTGATGGTTGGGCGGAGAAGAAACCAGCCTTACACCTGTCTACCCCCCATCAACCACCAACAACCCCCCCCACTCACCCAGCCAGCAGTGCGCGCGGTACCTCAGCCCTGCTCTCAGCCTGTCTCACCCCCATCAGCGCACTGCCACATCCCCATCTAACCGCTTATTCCCCCTTACAGCCCCACCACTCACCCACAGCCCCACCATCACTCACCCAGCCAGCAGTGCGCGCGGTACCTAAGTCCCGCTCTCAGCCTGTCTCCCCCCCGAAACAGCACCTCCACCTTTGCACTCGCGCGCTCCACTCCCCCTCCTCCCCCTCCGCGCCCCCCCGCGCCCCCCCTCCCCCCCCCGCTCTCCCCCCGAAGCCGCGTGGTCAGGAAGTACCGCCGCCCCGAGCCTAGCAGGTCCGGCCGAGCCTCCCAAATCTCCGCCAGGGTAGCATTGGGCCGAGCCAAGACCCCAAGCGTCCCTGGCACGTGGATATGCACGTGCCTGCAGGAAGGCAAGGGGAGTGGAGGGGGGGGGGGGGGGGGGGGGGGGGGGGGGTTGAAGAGAGGAAGAAAAGGATGGTGAGTGAAAAAACCCAGAACCCAGCACGGCTGGTGTTGTTGATGGGTGAGGGCGTGAGACCCAAGTGTCATGAGCCAAGATCTTGAGCGTCCCTGGCACGTGGATATGCACGTGGATATGCACGTGCCTGCAGGAAGGCGAGGGGAGGGGAGGAGGGAGGAGGGGGAGGCGAGGAGAGTGGGAGAGAAACCGAGGGACCTAGTAACTGTTTCGACCAGCCTATTAAGTACTATCTTTCCCGAAGCGCCTTACTCTTCTCCTTTGAGGTCAGGCCGGCCCATCCAATCGCTCGACACAGCGCGAACCACGCCGTCCATCGCGCCGCCAGTCGTGGCGGGCTTCTCGCCGCCGCTTGCGCCGCCATCGGACCGCTCAGCGCCGACAATTGCGCCGAGTTTCCCGGCAGGTGACGGATTCTGAGGCTCGCGGTCCGGCGCCGGCAGAACCTGCACCTTTCGCCGAAAGAAGTTCATTGCTTAGGAGGAAGACTGGTCTAGGAACAATACTGGATTAGGAAGACGACTTCCAATGTTCGAGTAGTAGCTTTTGGGAGTTCTGAAAAGTCTCGTAAGTTCCTCGCTTAGTAAGAAGACCCTCAATCATAGTAGTTAGGCCGGCGGAGTATATCGCATTCCAAAGCGCGTTTTGGGTGGACCAAAGCAAACTTGCTCACAACGAAGAGGTTTCGAAACCGCAATGGTGTGAACCGCAATGGTCTCTGACTTTACTGCTGCGTGGCAATCTGTAGCATCACTATGGCATGCACGTTATAAGAATACTCAATGCATGGACTTGTGCATCGAGTAGCCTAGTAGGTACTAGTGCACGTCCAATGTCGAGACCTGCTTTTGGTAGCCTCGCGAATGTCATATGAAAGGGATTTCTGACTTTTAGTTAGGAGATGGACTCGTGGCTATGCTGTGGAATATGCTTGAGCTCAGCTGATAATTTGATTCTGTCTGACACACTGAGTCAGACAGGTAGTTCCCGCCAGATCCTCGCACAGTCACAGTGCGGTGTCGTTTAGCGCACCACGCAATAGCGGCGATTCTTTCGAGTATTGGTGTAGAACTATGTTTCGAATTTCATTACACATCACATCGCCAAAAAAAGAATTGTTTTCACGGTTTTGAAATTCTTTCTGTTACTGTACAGCGAAGGATGGCAGTCTGGCTGTGTAAGGAATTTTCCTTATTCCTTACTGAGGCACCTTATGCGCGTACAACTCCAACTTTCGGAGTTCAGGCTCGGTCCGACGACCTCGCATTCCGAACGTCCTCCGCGTCACCTTCAGGGTTTCCAACCCCAAACCTGCACCCGACCTTGCACGGTCCTACGGCCTCGGCCTAGCTAGCTCTTGCTATATTATCCCTAGGCCTCATTAATTGCTCAGACGTTGTAATCACTGTTGCGATCAGAAGTTGATCGTGCCTAGGATCACCTCTGGAAGGTTCGCACACAACTGAGCAGTGGTGGTGGGCCCGTGACCTCAATAGCAGAGTGAATGTAAATGCTTGAGATGATAAAAACATGCAAATACAGCACTATAAATAAGATTACAAGGGAATGCCAATCGACCTAGCTAGCCATGTACTATAAAGAGTACATTCCCTTATTACATCGGAATCCAACCGTGCGACTCCAGACAGTTACGAAACTGTTCAGGCAGAATCCTCGCCACTGCTGCTGCCTGATGCTGTCTGCCCGTCGGTCCAGATCTTTTCGCAACCGTACGACCCTTCGCGTCACTTCCGTCCTTTCGTCTTCATTCTCGGTAGTGCGCACTTCGATTGCTGCGGTAAGGAGTGTCAGAATCTAGCAGCAGGAATGATTGAACTATGAAAGTATTGGGTACAAATATGAAACCCTAAAAAGGGCTGTACCCCATATTGGCTACCCCACTACAGCCTACACATATATAACATGCATATACTTTGACACACCCCCATAGGCAAAGTGGGGGAGAGCAAGGGGTCACAAGACCAGTAAAGAGAAGCAAAGCAAGCTCAGGGTGGATCACAACATCACCACACACACTGAGCACAAGCAAAGGGCCACAAGGCAAGTTCACATGCAGAGATATATATGCAACAACAACAGCACAATGATCTCTACCTAGCAGAGCAAGCATGCAGGTATATATATATATCACAGTACAAGCAAAGTCTACAGCAAGTGAGGAAACGTGGGCACAAGGCCTAACAGAGTGCAGAAACGCTGATGATCACCAGACGGAAGCGCCTTGGTGAATATATCAGCAGTGTTGGCCCGAGTGGCCACGTGAGCAAGACGAAGCTGACTACGCTGCTGCAAATCTCGAGCCAGGAAGTAACGCAGAGCGATGTGCTTCGTTCTGTGCTCCAGTCTGTGCTCCTAACACAAGGCAATGGCGGCCTTGTTGTCGACGTACAGCACTGGAGGGGAACGAGGCCGCTCTCCCAAGTCGGTCAGCAGGTAGGTGAGCCAACGTAACTCCTGTGCAGCCATGGCTGTGGCGTAGATCTCAGCCTCACAACTGGAGCTGAGAACTGAAGACGAGCGTGTAGAACGCCAAGAAACCGAACCAGAGCCAAGGCTGAAGGTGTAACCCTGTGACGACCGCTGCGTAGTCTGGTCGTCAACCCAAGAAGCGTCTGAGTGTCCAGTGAGGACAACGTCGCTCCGTCCACCAAGCACGAGCCCCATGCCCGATGTACTGCACAAGTAGCGTAGTACCCTCTTAGCAGCATCCATGTGCACCTTTCGGTGCCGACCAAGAGCCACGTAGCGAGCCAGAAGGCCAAGAGGGTACGCAAGGTCAGGACGAGTGCAGGTCATCAGGTACATGAGGCAGCCAACTAGCTCTGGGTAAGGACCACTCGGCTCTACGGACTCGTCCAAAGGTGGAGCTGAGAGCGAGTGACCTGTAGCCAGAGGAGTGGCCTGTGCCGAGGACCAGGTGAAACCGAAGCGCTGAAGGACCTGCTGCACCATGTGTGACCGAGTCAGGGTGATGGTGCGGCGTGCTCTGTCCCGGGTGATCTGCAAGCCAAGATAGCTTGTCAGCTCAACCAGGTCTGTGCACGTGTGTCTCTTCTGCAGCTCCGACTTCACCAGGGCGAGAGCCTCAGTGTCAGCAGTGGCAAAGACCAAGTCGTCGACGTACACGAGGATGTAGAACGGCGACAGCGAAGTGTCGGTGCGCAGAAACAGCGACGGGTCAGCACTCGACGGAGAAAACCCAAGAGCCGCAAGTGTCGTCCTCAGTGTGTCGTGCCACTCACGCGTCGTCTGGTGGAGACCGTAGACCGGCCGCTGGAGGCTCCACTGGGTACCAGGAGGGAACGACCCAGTGAAGCCAGGTGGGCGGCGCAGCCAGATCTCCTCGTGCAGGCTGCCCTGCAAGAAAGCTGTGCTGAAGTCAAGAGAGTGAAGCTCGTAGTCACGCTGAGCGGCAACGTGCAGCAGCACCCGAAGAGTGGTCATCTTCGGGGTGGGGGAGAAGGTCTGGAAGAAGTCAACTCCCTCTCGCTGACTGAAACCTCGAGCAACATAACGAGCCTTGAAGACAGGCGGAGAACCTGGCGGCCGCTTCACCCTGAAAATCCACATGCCACTGACGATGTTCGCCCCATGAGGGGGAACCTCGTCGACGTAGGTGCCTGTGGACTTCGAGGATGCCATCTCTGCATCCATGGCTGTCTGCCACTGAGAGGAGTACTCACCCGTGATCGCCTCAGCGTAAGAGCGCGGGGTCGGGATGTCTGGAGCATCCGGGTCTCCCTCAGGGGCAAGCAGCATGGACACGAGATGAGGCGCAGCGGCTGCAAGACACTCAAGGTCCTCCTGCCTGTCCTCAAGGACGTCCGTGCCAAGAGCACACTCACCCCGACGGACGGAGGACAGACAGACTCAGACTCAGCAACAAGACTAGCGGCGTAGTCTTGACGACAGGCAGCAGCAAAGTCAACAAGCTCAACGACTAAGGCAGACGCAGCAGCAGACTCAAACGACGGGTCAGTGACAACAGTGGCTAGCAGACGCGTGACAGCAGGGTGCTCCGCACGAAACCGGTCAGACTCGGGGTCCGCAACGACAGGCAGAGAAGACGCAGGAGGAGACGGCAGAGGAACACGCTGCGGAGGAGAGGAAGGACGACGGACTACGAGGTGGGTGTCGGGGACAGCCGGCTGACGCGGACGAGGAACACGACGAATGGAACAGACAGGCGAGACAGGACGCGACGCAGGCTTACGACGCTCAGTGAGACCCCCTGGCTGCTCAGTGTAAGGAGAAGGAGCACGCAGCGGTGAGCCAGGCTGTAACGGAAGACCAGTAGACGAAGGGAGACTAAGAACCTGGCGAAGCACAGAGTCAGGCGGTGGCTGAGACGACGGAGACGGTGGAGCGAAGAACAGGCGCGGTTGTGCAGTGCCACCAGCACCAGAAGCTCCAGTACCTCCAGCAGCTCCAGAACCCTCAGCGCCAGCTCCTCCAGGACCAGCTCCACCAGCAGCAGCACCCCCAGAACTGGCACCTCCACTTCCAGGGTCTCCAGCCTCAGTGTCTCCAGTAGCAGCACCCCCAGACCCAGGGTCTCCAGCAGTAGCACCCTCAGGCTCAGCACCTCCAGCCCCAGCAGCTCCAGTACCTCCAGTACGAGCACCTCCGGGACCAGCACCACTCCCAGCTCCAGTGACGTCAGCAGAAGTACCTCCAGCGGCAGAGCCCCGAGCTCCAGAAGCGCAACCCTGACGGCGACTGTACCAGTCGTGCAGCTGCTGTGAGGTGAGAGGCACACGCGGACGAAGGCGGCTACTCCAAGGAAACCGCTCAACAGCAGACTCAGAACCCTCAGCGCGAGCACCCGCAGCAGCTCCAGAATCTCCAGCTCCAGCGCCACCAGTGTCAGCACCTCCAGCAGCTCCAGAATCTCCAGCTCCAGCACCCTCAGCAGCTCCAGAACCTCCAGCAGAAACAACTCTAGTAGCAGAGTCACCAGCTCCAGCGCCTCCCGCAGCAGGGCCCCTAGCTCCAGCAGCGCGACCCTGACGGCCAACGTACCACTCACTCAGCTGCTGTGGGGAGAGAGGGAGTCGACTACGAGAGTGCAGCGGCGAGGCACCAGCGGAGCGACCACGGAGACGGCCGCTCCAGGGAGACTGCTCACCAGACGCCTCAGTGCCCCCAGGTGCAGCACCCCCAGACGCAGTACCCCCAGACTCCTCACGCCCAGGCTCAGCACCTCCAGTCTCCGCACCCCCAGGCTCCGCACCTCCAGGCTCAGCACCCCCAGAAGCAGCACCCCGAGCAGGACCACCCTCACCAGGACCTGAGTCACCAGTGACCTCAACCGGCGCAGTCAAGGGAGGAGGGTCTACCTGAGACACACCTGAAGGAGCAGGACCGGGAGCGGGGAGGGGGTCTACCTGGGGAGCACCTGGAGCGAGGAAGAGCGGCGGGGGGGGGAGAGGGGCAGTGCGGTAGGGGAAGA